CCACTCGTGCGCGGCCGTGCACACATGCCAGAGTTCTGGTACATATGCGTGGTCATCCCTCTAGTTGCACGGCCGGGCACCTCTAGTCTTGCTGACGCCGTATTTTGCGCGATCAAATATGGGGTGCACCCCTCTAGATGTGCGGTCGCGCACCTACACACATGCAAAATGCCTTTTTAAAGCCTCAATTTCTCCCTTCCGCAATATATACCTTCCTGCAACCACTAAGTCATAATATACACTAAGTTTTACCTAGTCTACACTACAACAAAAAAACTAAAGAGAAACATTAAGCTAGTAGAAGAGTTAGAGGTAGTTCTGAGTTATAGTCGTCAGCTTGCATCAACCGGGCATCCTCAACTGATTATGATGCTCGAGGATTGCTTAGCAAATACTCCAGCAAGATATGGTTTTAGCATGTGGCCACTCACTTTGAAACTCTCCGTTCCCTCCATGTTCTGGACCTCAATCTCCCCATATGGTGATACATGTTTCACCACATACGGTCCCGTCCATCTGGACTTAAATTATTCAGGGAACAGTCTGAGTCTGCTATTGTATAGTAAGACCTTTTCGCCTTTATAAAATTCTATCAATTTAATTTGACGGTCATGTCATTTCTTCGTCTTTTCATTAAAAATTCACGCATTCTAATACACATCTAATCTGAATTCCTCCAACTCATTCACCTGTGACATTTTGTGCTCACCTGCAAGACTAATATCAAGATTAAGCAATTTAATTTCCCAATAAGCCGTATGCTCTATCTCCACAGGTAAGTGACATGACTTTCCATATACCAACTTGAACGGTGAAGTCCCTATGGTTGTTTTGAACGTTGTTCTATTTACCCATAGAGCTTCATCTAACTTTACTGACCAATCTTTTATGGCAGTACTAACTGTTTTCTTTAGAATTCTTTTGAGTTCACGATTAGCTACTTCTACCTGTCCACTAGATTGCGCATGATATAGGGTTCTTGTTTTATAAGTTGCCCTATATTTAGACAGCAGAGTGGCATATTGTTTATTGACAAAATGTGACCCATTGTCACTGATGATGACTCGGGGAGTTCCAAAACGGGTGAAAATATTCTCCCGAAGTAATTCACATACTACCCGAGCATCATTTGTCCTAGTGGGGATTACCTCGACCCACTGGGAGATGTAATCAACGGCCATTTGGATATACTCATTGTTGCGACGATGGGAATCTACCCATGAAGTCGATGCCCTAAAACTCAAAAATTTCACATACAAAAAAGGAATTCAAGGGCTCTCGTCCCTCTTACTATCGTAACCTGTCCATTGGCACTTGTCACATTCAGTTGTGTAGGATCTAGCATCCTTGTACATGGACGGTTGGTAAAAAATGGCTTCTATAACCTTCGTTGTTGTCCTATTTCCTCCATTGTGTCCTCCAACTACTACATCATGACAATAGGACAATATACTTCCTATTTCCCCTTTTGGTACGCATCAATGAATCATGCCATCTGCACACAATTTAATTAAAATGGGGTCATTCTAGAAGTATCTTTTTACCTCGCTTTGCAGCTTCCTCTTCTGGTCTGAGGTCAAGTCATGTGGAAGCCAACCACTAGCCAAAAAGATGGCTATGTCAGCGTACCATGGCGGTCTATCTGAGACCGCTGCAATAGAAAACATCCGCTCATCCGGGAACTCTTCCTGTATGTCCACCGCTTAAGCAAGTGGTTTCTCCAATTGCGACAGGTGGTCAGCCACCTGATTTTTGGTGCCCTTCCTGTCCTTGATTTCCAGATCAAACTCTTTCAGCAACAATACCCACCGCATCAGACACGGTTTTGACTCTTTCTTTCTCACCAGATATTTCAATGCCGAGTGGTTAGTATGTACTATCTCCTTGCTTCCCACTAGATAGGATCTGAACTTGTTGAAAGTGAAGACCTCTGCAAAGAACTCCTTCTCCATGGTAGCATAGTTCACCTGATCATCATTCAAAGTCTGAATGGCATAGTAAATGGGTCTAAATGTTTTATCTCTTCTTTGCCCGAGCACTGCTCTCACTGCCACATCACTGGCATCGCGCATGATCTCAAAGGGTTCTCCTCAGTTAGAAGTCACCGTTATGGGGGCACTCACTAGCTTCTCCTTGATTATCTCGAATGCTCTAAGGCACACTACATCAAACACAAACTTCACATCAATGGCAAGTAATGTTATTAGGGGCATGGTGTTGCTGGAGAAATTCTTGACGAACCTTCTATTAAACCATGCGTTCCCCAAAAAGCTTCTGATGCTCTTCACTGAAGTTGGAGGTTGGAGCTTAGCGATCTCTTCTACCTTAGCTCTATCGACCTTGATACCTTCAGTTGTGACTTTGTGGCTCAAGACTATCCCCTCCTTGACCATGAAGTGACACTTTTCCAAGTTGAGTACTAGGTGAGTGTCTTCACATTGTTTCAGTACAAGTTCAAGATTCCTCAAACAATCCTTGAAGTCATCTCCAAAGAGAGTAAAGTTGTCCATGAACACCTCCAGTCACTTCCCATTCAAATATGAAAAGATTGGCATCATGCACCTATGAAAAGTAGTTGGTGCATTGCAAAGTCCAAAAGGCATTCTCCGGTATGCACATATTCTAGAAGGGCAGGTATTTGATTGTACCCTGAGTATCCATCTAAAAAGCAGTAACATCCATGCCCTGCCACCTTCTCCAACATCTAATCAATTAAGGCAAGAGGGAAGTGATCCTTTCTTGTTGGATCATTCAGCCTTCGATAATCTATGCACATCCTCCAACCGGTGAAGGTCCTGGTATCAATTAGCTTGTTGTCCTCGTTTGTTACCACTGTCATGCCCCCTTTTTACGGCACAACATGTACGGGGCTGATCCATTGGTTGTTGGAGATGGAAAATATTATACCCGATCTAGCAGTTTGAGTATCTCTTTCTATACCACCTCCTCTAGGGTTTTATTCAATTTGCACTGGTGCTGCACTACCCATTTGCTCCCTTCTTCCAACAAGATCTTGTGCATGCAGATTGCGGGGCTGATTTTCTGAATATCTGCTATGCTCCAACAATCATAGAAAAATTGTTAGTCTCCAGAAAAGCATATTTTAAATATGTTGGGAGTACTTTCAATTCCAGCTTTGGCTTGATCTTTTATTTTTAAAATTACTCTTCGTATACCACTTAGTTTTCATCTTCTAGTGCCTCAGATTCTTTCCTGATTTAAGGGTCTTCATCCTTTGCTGTACTCGATTGACTAACGCATCTTTCCAATGAATCACCTACCAACTTGTCCAGCTTGTGTTGTTCAGCTATCTCTCCTACCACATCCAATTTGAAACAAGCATAGGCAGATGCCTCATCACACGGTTATTTCATCATTCTCTTCATTTGAAACACCACTTTCTCATTTCCAACTCGTAGCATGAGTTTCCCCTCGTATACGTCAAGAATATCCCGGCTAGTGCAAAGGAATGGTCTCCCCAAGATTAGAGGTACCTCCTTATTCACTTCCATGTCTACTACAATGAAGTCTACCAGGAAGACAAACTTTTCCACCCTCACCAGAATGTCCTCGATTATGCCCTCTGGTATGATAATGGTTTATGAGAAAGGGAATGCTCTAAGGTAGATTTCATCATGTGATGCTCCATTATAGTGGAATGTGTTCATGATTTCATTGAAGTCCATCAGATGGTTGTTGGGATCTTTATTGGGTTTGCCTCTGAATTTTCAGTTATTCTGAATGGTATGGATAACTCCTTACTTTAGTTCAAAATTGTTAGCATCAATAGGCAGGGGCCTCACACTGGATTACCGCTGGTTGTAGAACGGTCTGGCGTAATCTCCTAGAGACCTCCCAAGCCTGGGAGCGGAATTTTTAAACTCATCTTCGACCATGGTTTGGTTAAGATTGAATTTTCGACCCTCTCCAACTTTTCCATCAGCAACTCTAAGGGCTACTTCAGCTACTAACCGTGCAGCCTATTGTTTGGCATCCTCTCTCACATCTAAGTTTACTTCCTTTTCGTTGTTCACAATTTTATTTTGAGTCGAAGTCTGACCCAAAATTGATCCACTCGATTCTTTCTCCCTTCTCAACTGCCATAGGTGCTTGTCTAATTCTGGATTGTATGGCACCAATTCCTTAGAGGAGGATCGATTCATGCACCACCGAACTTAACATGTTGCCGGGACACACATAAGAAGAGCGTAAAAAAAAGAAAATAAAATATAATTGTTCATGAATTAGCACCGAAAATTATTTCAAAAAATATTAATTGTCAATCCCCGGCAGCGGCACCAAAAATTGACGAGTGCAAAACTAGTGTATAAAATATAGGCTCGCTAGTCAAAGATAGTATAGTATTTAAGTCGTCTCCACATGAATTGGTTTGAATAATGTTCAAATAAATCTTCATTTTAATACCATTCAGGAAATTGAACCTTTGATTTTGAATTATCAACGAACTAAGAGTAAAACTAAAATTATCAATTTTGAATGATTATTGGAAATTGGGTATCTAGGTAGCAACAATTGAATATCAATGGGAGAAACAAGGGATTGAAAAGATACATTCTCAACTATTATTTGGGGTATAGCTCTATGCTCAGTTCACTCTTAAGTTCTATTTTGACTCTTTCGATTTCAATAGATGATTAGGATATCTTAAAAATTCAAATTCTTCTTCCAAATGAATTAGAGTTATCTAACAATCTAATGATACGTGTTGTGAACGTATGCAAGAATACGTTAAATGAATGATCTTACGAAGAACGTCTCTCGAATATTCCTCTAAATTAGGTCAATTGATAACTCCCACAAGTTCTTTCGATTACCTATAAGAGTTGTGAAATTAACTCAAATAAGATAACACAATACGAATTGCAGTAACACTTCTCCTTCGATTAAAGTAAAACCACAATTAACCTTGCAATTCAATTAGAAACTCGCTCAACAAATTCAAACTACTAACAAAACTAAACCCACAAACAATAGTCAAGTCACAATATTTGTCAGTAGCCCTAAGAAAGATTACTCCATAGTAAAGAAGTGTATCACCACAACAGTATTAAGAGAAAAAGAAAATATTACAACCTACGAATTCGAACAAACTTTCGTATTGAATGATTCAGATGAAGTATTCAGAGTCTATGTTGTTTTTTTTTTCCTTCTTCTCTCCAAAATTTGCTCCAAAATCCAATTACCTTGTTCTGGGACGGGCTAGGCTTTATATAGGTCAAAAGGCTGCCTCTAAAATTACAAAAATAGGCTTGGGTCAAATTCCCGGAGATGGAGTTGTGCGGCCGCGCACCTGGGAGAATGACCGCGCACATCTGGCAGACTTTTGTAGCACTTGCGCGCTCAAGTGCACGTTGGGGGTCGCTCGCGCAGCCGCGCATGAGAACTTCTTCTTGCTCAACTTGTTTTCCTCCCAGTTAGTGCACTATTCGTCCATTGATCCGCTCTGCGTCACCTGCACTGAAAGACAAAATATTAGACCCAAATCAGCCCAAATCTCTGTCGAATCAACCAAATCAAAGACAAAAAGTGGGCATAAATATTAAATAACTTTAAGCTCATAAATATTCATAAGATTAATATACATACGTACTGCGTATCAGTAAATTGTTTGGAACGTGCGGGTGCATGAGGGAACTGAGAAGATTCTATCCAAGTGAAGAAGATTGTGGCATGGGTTTGGTTACATTTCATATAATCCAAAAGACCAAATTGTTGACATTTCTTTTAATTGTGTTGGGGGGTTGCGGCCATCCAATTTGTGAATATTGTAAAAGATAAGAAAATCTTATAACACTGTTTGCCGATTAATGTGGATCTTCTCTTATACCTCCATAGCCAAACTTTGTCTCCTCAAGAGGGTGCCACCGCCCTTGGTGGAAGATCTTCAATCAAACACTAAATTTGTGTGCGCGCATGTATGCATATTTGCTCATACCTACACATTAATTTTTATTATCCAAGGAATAACGAGATCTGCACTGATATTGTTCTACCAAATATGCACTAATATCGTTTAAAATGCAGATCAAACGAAAAAATTGCAAGATTCAATGGAGCAAAAATAAATGACAAAAGATAAAGCAGTAAAGATATTTTTATTTGATTGATACGTTACGGAGCTTGTATAAGTCAGATGGTGCTTCAGAGCAGCAAATACAAAAGAATGAGTTGCGTAAAAGAAAATATATACGTATTTTACAACAAAGAGAGGTATCGGGTTTGATTGCAAGTTAACGAATTTGTTTGAAGAGAATTGGAGTCCGTTTTACAGGTGACTGACGTGCCCCATGACGTGACCCAGCATCTCTTCTCTTTTGAAGGTGTGCGATTGAGAATTAGGCAAAGCCACGTCGCTTAATTTTTGAAGGCAATTCTAAATATTCGCATTGTGAGCGTTGAAGATTGACCTGGTCTTTGCAAGGTCAGAGAACGTATTAAGGGTTTGGTACATTTGTGCATTGGTCCATTGATGAGAGAATGTCGTGCCAGTAGTGATGGCATAATTTGGGCTTTTTTGGTCTGGACTTGGCTTTGGGGTGTCTGTCCCGGCTGAGTTTAGATTTTTGACCACCACAAGAAGAACAAGAAAATGATGTCTAGTTTTTCAAAATATTTAACATGTAGCCAGTGTTGACAAAATGATTTCTCCTCCTCCTATTGTAGGTACCCATTTCTTTCTTTTGTATCACTATGGTAGTTTCTGTGTGTTTCTAGCTATTGTTGTTGTGGTCTAGGACATTATTTTGAAGACTAAAATACCATCTCTTGGGTTCGTGATTGTTGCGTGTACGAATGATTCTTTAACCATACATAGTGCTTGCCGTTGGTGTTTTTGGTGAGAAGGGAACTTTTAGGTCATATTGTTTGAGGAGAGAACAAAATTTAGAATTCCTGCTTTTGTTAATGTAATCCATACCACGTGTTGGGTTCTTTTTTTTTCAATCAAGGATGCTACTATTGCTAAAAATTAAGCCTCAACCTGCAATAAGTAGGCCAGTTTGGTAGTTCGCACTTTATATATACATGTTAACTGATGAATTCATCAGTTATTTGGAACAAATGAAAAACCTAATTCTGGAGAATATGATATGAAAGTTTCTCACTATGTAATCAAATAGGAAAAAATATTCTGTATAGTACCGATATAAAATGATGTACAACCCCTCTCTCTCTCTCTCTCTCTCTATATATATATATATATTTACGCAAACGGGCCAGGTATCTATAAATAAAAAAGGACCCAAGCCTGCTACATCTAAGACTATCAGGGAGGCTAATATTGGGCAGTCTCATTATTGGGCATGTGCTGGATTGCATCGTCAACACCCCTCCTCAAGCTGGAACGGAAGCCATTCCCAGCTTGGAAATGAAAGCTTGTTGAGTAGGACCAAGGAGAGGCTTGGTGTATATACCAGTAGTTTGAGCAGAAGTGGAGATGGATTGTAGAGAGATCACCCTAGAGGCTAAGCAAGTGCGCACAAAATGACAATCCACCTCAATATGTTTAGTCCTCTCATGGAAGACGGGATTTTTGGCAATATGCATAGCTGTGTGACTGTCACAATAAACAGCCATAGGAGCAGGAGAGAGAACACCAAATTCACAAAGCAAGCGAAGCAACCAAACAATTTCTGCAACCAACAAACGCAAGGCTCTATACTCTGCCTCAGAAGAAGAAAGAGCAACAGTGGCTTCTTCTTGGATTTCCAAGAAACAGGGCAACCACCAAGAAAGAGAACATAACCACTAACGGACTTCCTCGAAGCAGCACAACTAGCCCAATCGGAGTCACAATACCCCATTGGAGAGAAATAAGGAGCAGCAGTAAGTAAGAATCCAAAATCAGGAGTACCAGCAACATATCATAGAAGATGATAAGCAGCTTCAAGATGAGGCACTCAAGGGGAAGACATGAATTGTCTAAGGTATTGCACAGTGAATGAGAGATCACGCCGAGTGTGTTGCAAAAAAATTTAGCTTGCCAACAAGTTTTCTATATAAGGAAGTTCGGGTAAGGGAGCACCAATATCATCATAAAGCTTCATATGAGGAGCTAAAGGAGAGACCACAGGATGAACATCAGTACAAGCAAACTTATAAGAAAATCCATGGTAAACTTGTGTTGGCAAACCAGGAACCCCTGAGGGTGTTTCACTATCTCAAGTGCAAGTAAATAGTGAATCTCACCAAGATCGTTAATTCTGAATTGGGCATCCAAAAAGTCCTTGAGAGCAGTAATCTCAGAATGATCATCACCAGCCGCTAAAATGTCATCAACATAAACAGAAACCAAGTCAACTTTGAGTTGGAAAGCTTAGTTAACAAAGAGTAGTCATTCAAACGTGCTGAAAACCTTTGGACTGAAGAGCCGAGGATAATTCAAACGTACTATTGCCTTGAGGCTTGACGCAAACCATAAAGAGTTAGGAGCGACAAATTGAAAAGAGATACCAAGGGGATTTTCATATAGACTTCTTCATCTAAGTCATCATGCAAAAAGGCATTATTTCATCTAGTTGAAAAAAAGCCCAATTTCTCTTAACAGCCACAGTGAATAGACACTTAATAGTGATCATTTTAACCACAGGGGAGAAAGTTTCATTGAAAACTACCCCCTTATGTTGAGTATCCCCTCTAATGACTAATCGAGCCTTGTATCTTTCTATAGAACCATCAGCCCTCTGTTTCACTTTGTTAACCCATTTACAAGGAATTGCTTTCTTTCTAGAAGGCGGAGGGACAATGTCCCAAGTATGATTTGCCTCTAAAGCCTGAAATTCTTTCAGCATTGCCTCCTGCCAAGCAGGGTTGGAAGCAACATGATGAAATAAATGAGGTTCTTTCAAATAACTCTCAGATGACAAGGAAGTGACCTCAGAAGTAGAGACAGAGGTGCAAACATAATCAGAAAGGTATGGTGGGGGATTACTCATCCCAAGATATTTTCTGAGAACTGGAATAGAAGAAGAGGAAGGTTGTGCAAGGGGAGTAGGAGAAACATAAGAAGTAGGGATGGAATGGGAGGAAGGACCTGAATGAGTAGAAGAAGGAGGAGAAGGTGGGATATGGAAGGAGGAAGAAACTAGATCAGAAGGGACAGAAGGAGGAAACAATTGTGAAGAGGAAGATGAACAATAGGGAAATACGTGCTCACAAAAACTTACATCCCTGGAATGAAAAGTGCTATGATTAGAAAGATTTAACAACTTGTAACCCTTCTTCCCAATGCTATAACAAAGAAAAATGGTTGTAATGGTTATATATTTGACTTGCCCCTATAGGGCTTAGGAACAGCAGCAAAGCACAAGCAACAAAAGGTCCTGAGCTGAGAAAAAGAAGGAGCAGAACCATGAAAAAATACAAATGGTAATTTGTGTTTGAGCAAAGGTGAATGAAGCCTATTAATAAAGTAAGTGGCAGTCAAGACACATTCTTTCCAATACTTAAAAGGAAGTTTGGACTGAAACAACGATGCGTTAACAGTCTCAAGTAGGTGTCTATGCATCCTTTCCACTACACCATTCTGTTGGGGTGTGTGTGGGCAGGAAGTTTGATACAGAATACCTTGGGAAGAAAAGAAAGGAATTGCTTCAGAACTATATCCTAACTCAAATGCATTATCAGATCTAACTGTTTTAACAACAGTAGTGAACTGAGTTTGGACCAAAAAGATGAAAGATTTTAAAACAGTGAATGCATTAACATTAGATGATAATAAATGTGTCCATGTAGCTCTAGAAAAATCATCTAAAATAGTAAATAAATACTTAAAGCCATTATAAGTCTGAGTGTGATAAAGCCCCCAAAGATCTACATGAACTAGTTGGAAAGGAGAAGTAGAATGAATTGAACTTTCAAAGGAAGGGAGTCTTTGCTGCCTAGCCATAGGACAAATAGAGCAAAAAAAGTTTGTTTATTAGGTAGGTGATCATGTAAAACGGAAATATGTTTTATTTTAGACAAAGGAATGTGTCCTAACCTCAAATGCCAAGCATGATCAACAGATAAAACAGAGTTTGGAACATGAGCAGATAAATTAGCTTCGTAATCAAGACTTTGCACAGAAACAGAAAGTACTGAACTGCACTTATTTGTATTACTCAGATTACTGGCAGTAATGGTATTCACAACAGGAACTTTAGAAGTAGAAGAAGCAAAGTAATCAGGACAGAGGATCTACAGGCCTTTCTGAATTTTACCAATTTCCAAAGGCTTCTTCATAGAAGGGCCCTGCAAAGCACAAGAAGAGTGAAAATAGCATTACCCTTAAGATGAATAAGTTATTGAGACGGGGAAATCAGATAATACTGAAAAACAGGAACAAAGAGAACATCAAGAAGTAAGACATAAGAAAACAAGGGTAAGGATCCAATACTAGTGACCTTATCCTCATATTCATTTGGTAAGGACACCAGATAAGATAAAGTTAGTGGTTTTATGTTAAGTAGTAAAGATTTATGTGGGGTCATGTGGTGAGTTGCACCTGAGTCTATAATCCAAGGATTATCTTCGCTCAGAGGCAAAATCACGAGGTGTTGGAGTAATTTTGGATTGCTGAACCAACGAAACAAGATGGTCATACTACTCCTTTGTCAAGTTATGACTCCCAGTAGTAGATTGAGCAACTCTGTTACTTGAATTAGTACCATCACCATACACTATGGGCTGAGCTTCAGATACGTGAGCACATGCAACTGTCCTCTTATACTTGTTCTGAAAAGTAGGGATGTTGGACTTGGGATAAAATCCAGAAGGAAAACCATGCAGCTTGAAGCATTTCTCTATGACATGACCAGGCTTTTTACAATACATGCAGACTAAATTTGCATTAGGCTTCCTGGAGGAATCAAATTGTATTTGCTGAGTGTAATTCTGAGGGTAAGGCTTTTGAGGATAAGGTTTTTGTGCTCTAGTAGAGAAAGCTACAGAATCAGAACTGAAGGATGGGACAGTGGCTTGGACTTCAGATTGACTATGATCATTTATGAGCATTGAGTAAACATTGTCAACATCAGGCAAAGGCTTCTTCATCAATATATTTCTTCTAATAGTGGAGTATGACTCGTTAATCCCCATCAAAAATTGATGAACTTTCTATTCCTCATCTAAACGCTGAAAAGTCTCTTTGAAACCACAAACGCAGTCTGGATATGCAACAGAAAAAAGCTCATCCAATAGTTTCTTAATCCTGTTGAAATACGAGGAGATACTAGAAGAACCCTGAGAGATAGAGGAGATTTCTTAACGGATTTGCTAAATCTTTATTCCACTCGCCTGTCCAAATCTCTGCTCAATTTCCTTCCAAAACTTCTCAGCAGATTCTATATACATGACAGTTTCTCTAATTTCCTTGTCTAAACTATTAAGGATCCAAGCTACAACCATGTCATAACATCTAATCCACGCCTCAAAATGAGGAGAAGTAGGCCTAGGTTTTGGAATAGTACCCTTGATCATTCCCAATTTATTTTTACAGGACAAACCTAACAATATTCCCCCTCTCCAACTCCCATATAATGTCCCATTAAAAGTCATAGTAACCAAAATCGTGCCAGGAGAATCAGAGGGAAGGAGATACAGGGGAGATGAAGGTGCAACAATAGAATTATCACTAGCATTAGAACTTTCCTCAGATGCTGGAGCCATATCACACAAAATAGTAGAAATTAGGGTTTTATCAAAACAGTATTATCAGACTTCTCCAAACATCCGAATAGATAAAATCTTCGGTCAGCCTTGTCGAACACCAGCAGAAGCAAAGACAGAAGAAAAACACACCGCAAATTTCAACAAAATGCCGCAGGAACTGTCAGAAAATTAACACCAACATCATCGCAACAAAATTCGAATCAACCAAAAATTGGACTAAGAATGTAGAAGAAATTACCCATATATAACGTAATGTTGGCTCTGATACCATGTTAACTGATGAATTCATCAGTTATTTGGAACATATGGAAAACCAAATTCTAGAGAATATGTAGAGAGAGAAAATGTGAAGGCTTCTCATTATGTAACCAAATAGGCAAAAATATTCTGTACAGTACTGATATAAAATGATGTACAACCTGTAAATATATTTACACAAATGGGTCGGGTATCTATAAATAAATAGGGACCTAAGCCCACTACATCTAAGGGGATAAATTCAAAAATAGCCAAATTAACAAGTGGTCATTCAAAAATTTCCACAGTTTAAAAAGTAATCAAAATTTAGCCACTTTTATGTATAGATAAATCTAAATGGAAATACTGTTCAAAAATACGAAAAACTACTCCAATATAATATACTGGAGTTCCAGTATAATATACCGGTCCAGCATAATATACTGGAGATCGGGGCACCGGTGCTCCAATCTCCAGTATATTATACTGGAACTTTCCACGTGTTGGATTTCCAGCATAATATGCCGAAAGTTCATACACAGGTGCACCGATCTCCAGTATACTATGCTGGAAATTTTTCAATGACTTTATAAACACTGGCTTTTTTTAAATGGCCAATCCAAAAAATGGCTAGCCTATGCTATTTTTACACATCTAAGACTATCTGGGAGGCTGATATAGGGCCGTCTCATTGTTGGGCCTGTGCTGGACTGCATTGTCAACAATACAAGTCTAAAGTTGGGGATTGTCAATTTTATTACATGGTGCATGAAATAAAATTGAGAAGTCTTTGGCTCTTTTCATATATTTTATGATTTACAACATTTACGATATTTTTTTATTCACAAGAGATTCACATTAAAAGATCTGGCTGTAAATTACACTCATAACGATTGTAATTTCAAGTGTCCAACATTGTGACAATTTATCCAAGTCTGTTTTCCATATAGTTAAATGCTTTATCAATATGCATGTATACGGTGGAAATCGGGGCTACCCGATTTCGGTCTTCGATGGAAAAAGTAAATACCATGTCGGAAAGTCAGAACGTCGAGCTCGGGGTCGAAGTTCCTTTCCAAGGTCATGGTCGATAACATTTACCGAGGTCAGAAGAAGGCATGATTCGAGGTGATGACGATATGACTCAATAACGGAAAGAGCGAGATACCTACAACGGGCCGGAGATCACGGTGTAAATTTCGTATTGGATTGGTCTTCAACGGTTAAATAGTTTTCAAATACGATTTCCTACTACAATTGGAAGTGTACCTTATTTAGGACTCCCCTACTATATAAAGGGAGGATCCCATCCATTTGTAATACACTGATCACTACTCATTGATAAGAAATTATACGCTTGCTATTCTCTTGCTATTCTATTCACTGTTCATCCTAGTTGTTCATTCATTTGTTCTTCCTATTATCACACCTCGAAGTTGTCATAGCTCGAGGTCGAGATTTAGCTTACACACTGGTTTGATCTACTTTATTCTTGAATTTATCTATTTAATTTCTTGTTTATCAATATGGATTGAATCAAACCACATATCCTTAAAGCCACAATACAAGTTTAATTGTTACGCAAATTTTAGGCTAAACAGTTTGGTGCCCACCGTGGGTGTAAGTATAATAGTGATTGTTTCAGTGTTGATTCTGATAACACACGTTATTTTCACACTTGTTCTTTTCAAGTATTTTTGCTCTTAGGTTAAAGCATGTCAAACTCACGAAATGCACCAGTACATGGTGATGATGGTCTCGGATTTCACGGGGAAACGACAATGTAATTGCCGAGGAACCGGAGTGCCACCGGCTAATCTCGGGGGAGTACCGGTTGCCGATCCCATCGACATCAGTTCGCAAGTTGCTCTAAATGCAGACCTAGGCGCGGGTCCCGAAGGGAGTCTACGCAGGGAAGGCCGATCTGGTGGCCAAGGTACGCAGGGCAAAGAAGACGGGGGAGTTAGTCTCCAAGTAATATTCGAGATGTTGCAGGCTCAGTAAGCCGCTATTGCCAGAAAGGTTGAATGGTAATGGAGCAGGGACTGATCCTACAATTATGAAAATGCTGGAGGAGCTCACCAAACGAATGGAGTCGGGGGAGAAGAAACCGAAGATAATGATAAAAAAGTGGAAACATACAATTCCAAAGTTGATCAGATACCGGGAGCAGCCCCGATCTTGAAGGGTTTGGATTCAAGAAAGTTCGTGCAAAAGTCTTTTCCTCAGACGCTGCTCCGAAGCCCATTCCTAAGAAGTTCTGTATGCCGAATATACCTAAATACAACAGGACCACCGATCCTAATGAACATCACTTCGTACACATGCGGAAATAAAGGAAATGACTTAGATGGTGATCAGATTGAGTGCGTTTTGCTGAAAAGATTTGTGGAAACTTTGTCAAAGGGAGCAATAATTTGGTATCACAACCTGCCACCGAATTCCATCGACTCATTTGCCATGTTAGCAAACGCCTTCGTGGAGGCGCACACCGGGGCCATAAAGTTCGCAACAAGAAAATCGGACGTTTTTAAGATAGGACAAAGGGAAAATGAAATGCTAAGGGAGTTCGTATCCCGATTTCAAATGGAAAGCATGGAGTTGCCACCGGTCATAGATGATTGAGCCATTCAAGCTTTCACCCAAGGGTTGAACGAGCAGAGTTCGAAAGCATCACAAAAGTTGAAACAAAATTTGGTCGAATATCATGCTGTAACTTGGGCAGATGTGCACAATCGATATCAATCGAAGATCAGGGTCGAGGACGACCAATTAGGAGCCCCTTCCTGTTCAGTACATCCAAATAGGTTAGCAATTAAAACCCTGAGGGACATTGACAGGGAACCAAGGTCGAATAAGGAACGATATCAACCATATACCGCGGATCGAAGGAACAATGTCTTGGGACGCAATCCCTCATGGAATGATCGAAGAAACGATCGAGGACAAAATTCTTGTGGACTTATGAATAAAAGAAGTTTTGATAAGCATGTCGATCCCGTAGAGGCACCTCGGTTATCGAAATATAACTTTAGCGTCGATGCATCAAGCATTGTATCAGCAATCGGAAGGATCAAAGATACTAGATGGCCCTGACCCATACAAACCGATCCTTCCCAAAGAAACCCAAATTTGATGTGCAAGTATCATGGCACGCATGGTCACAAGACCGAGGATTGTAGGAAATTAAGGGAAGAGGTAGCCCGTCTATTCAACAAGGGCCACCTTCGAGAGTTCCTTAGCGATCGAGCCAAGCATCATTTCAGAGACAGTGATGCCAACAGGAAAAATGAACAGGAGGAACCACAACATGTCATTCATATGATCGTCGATGGAGTCGATATTCCACAAGGGCCCGTGTTCAAACGTACTATGATATCAATTACTAGAGAAGCGGACCCGGGATTATGTGCCCTAGGACCCCTTATAATTCAACGAGGAAGAAGTAGAAGGCATTTCTCAACCACACAACGACGCTCTGGTCATTTCTATCTTATTAAATAAAGTTCAAGTTAAGCGTGTTTTAGTGGATCCAGGTAGCTCAGCAAATATCATCTGATCGAGGGTCGTGGAGCAACTTGGCCTACAAGATCGAATAGTACCTGTAGCCCAGATCTTAAACGGCTTCAACATGGCCAGTGAAACAACTAAAGGGGAGATTATTTTACCAGTGAACATAGCTGGAACCATTCAAGATACCAAATTCCACGTAATCGAGGGCGACATGAGGTATAATGCCCTACTCGGAAGTCTTTGGATCCACAACATGAGGGCAGTCCCCTCGACTCTCCACCAAATGATGAATTTTCCAACAACGGACGGTGTAAAAACAATATACGGGGAGCAGCATGCCGTAAAGGAAATATTTACGGTCGATGAGGTAACACTAATACCAACACTATCAACATAGGACAGGTCGAGCATCAAAGGTAAACAGGAAGCCAAATAGCAATCACAGCTACCAGTGTCGACCGAATCGGGAAAACAGGAGATGGAAGAAGAAGAGGTGGATTTTTTGACCACTCGAACCTTTATTGTTCCCGAAGACTCCAATGCCACCAAATCAACGGTCGAAGAGATGGAACAGGTTATATTGATCGAGCACCTACCCAAGCAAAAGGTATACCTGGGAGCAGGGTTAACCCCGAACTCAGGAAAAAGCTTATTCAATTTCTTATTGATAACATGGATTGCTTTGCTTGGTCCCATTAGATATGACAGGGATCCCACCAGAGATAACGACGCATCGAGTAAGCCTTGACCCCAGGTTGAAACCGGTGAAACAAAATAGAAGGCCCCAGTCCGAGGTAAAGCATGCATTCATAAAGGACGAGGTAACTAAACTTCTAAAAATACGGTCCATGAGGGAAGTAAAATATTCCGAATAGCTAGCCAATGTAGTCGTAGTCCCTAAAAAAGGGAACAAACTTAGAATGTGTGTAGACTACAAGGGTTTAAACAAGGCATTCCCCAAAGATTCTTTTCCACTGCCTAACATCGATCACATGATCGACGCCACGGCTGGCCACGAGATCCTTACCTTTCTCGATGCCTATTCCGGGTACAACCAAATTCAAATGAACCCGAAAGACCAGGAAAAGACTTCGTTTATTACTAAGTATGGAACATATCATTATAACTTGATGCCTTTCGGGCTAAAAAATACTGGGGCTACTTAGCAACGCCTAGTGAATAAAATGTTTGAAGAACAAATAGGTAAGTCAATGGAAGTTTATGTCGATGACATGTCAGTTAAGTCC